ATTGATGATTGATGAGGATTAAACTCTGCAAAAATGAGCTGTCTATTTTATTTTTGTAATGAAAACCATAATAGCCTAGTATGAGTTTCTGTGCTGATATTTTTCCTCTATATACCAGAGTTTTTTGTGGTAACCAAGAATAATGTTAATCATTTTCCTTCAAGCATAAACAGAAATGATCAATAGGTGTACAGGCCTCTTTTTGCGTGTGTGTATCTGTGCATGTGTTCGTGTGTATGTTTGATTTGTAAAGGGACTTTCTAAAGAGCAGCAATAAAAAGTTGTCAGAGATCCTGTTAAAATCAGATGATGTCATACCTCACCTGCACCATGTGGTCTTGTTTGTCACTTTTCAATCACTCACTCTGATTAAAAAAAAAAAAAAAAAAAACTGGCTGAGCCAAAATGTAACTCTTAGCCATAGAGTATGTCAAAGCTTATGTGCTTCTAATCTCAGCAAGTCAGTATTGGCATGCTTTCTGTTCAGACTTTTTTGTTAATTCCTCAAAACAAAAAAGAAACCAAGAAAAATATACACATTAACTTCTGAACCAATTGACTACTATTGACAGCAGCTATTGACTTGATCTTCCAAGGCTTGAGGAACAAGTGATCAATATAAAAAATACATAAATAAATAAATAAAAAGCAAACAAAAAATAACGTTTAGCACTTTGAAAATCAAAAAGCCAAGCTTTCGAATGCCTAGATGCAGCCACACACCACAATGGAAGTCTGTAACTCAAGTTTTTCAAGTTATTGGGCTCACAACATTCATGGACGGACGGACAGATGGACAGATGGATGGACAGATGGATGTATGGGATGGATGGAGAGTATTTTCTACTCCCACTTTTAGCTCATTGATGAGGGACAATAAAAGAAGACAACTGATAATATTTTGTAGCAGAGTGTTGTTGTGAAAATGTTCTAATAACACAAGCAATTAAATATCTTACTCAAATTTAAACAAATTATAAAACTTTCAAATTCACAACAGTCACCTGAACCATGCATTTTGTCCCTGGTGAGACCCTTGGCTGAAAGTCTCAGATGTGATAAAGAATAAAAGGATAAACCTTACTGTTATTTTGTTATGCTCTAAAATGATCATTTTACGGATTATTTTATTTGAATATAGCTTCATATTTAAATATTTACAGCTGAGTTTTAATTTTTCTCATGTTTAATACAGGACCTCTTATCTGTCCCACATCCATCCTTCCCTCTTTTTGCCAATGCATTTCTGAGAATGAATTGACAGCCTGGTCATCAATCAATCCCATGGTGGACCACAACCTGGAGGCCCTGCACAAAATAACTCAACTTTATTAACATAATGCCTTGACAGTCATAAAACAATAGCAACAAGAACCACGTCATCATGGTGGCTGGAGTCTGACAGTTTAGTTTACCAAAGACTACTTAGAAACATTAACGTTTGACTGGGACATCTCACTACAAGTCCAATATTTCTGATAAAGCCTGTCAGTTATAGTAGGTTTGTTGTCCGTGTGGTCAGGTAATTTACTTGCATGTTTAAGAACTAGTTGCGGAGCTCTGCTGTTTAAAAATCAGAGTGCAGCGAGGTCAGAGATGGCAATAACTCAACGAGATAAAAATAGGATAAAAGAATAAGAAAAAAAGGTGGAGAAATGGGAGAAATGCAGCTTTGTTTGTTTTAATCAAGTCCCATAATACCCAAAAGAAGAAGCTTTTTTTTTTTCTCTAAATGTAATTACGTTAAAGCCATTTTTGAAAGATGTACTTTGAAAACTTTGTCTAAGATATTGCCTCTACGTGTGAAGCAGCCCTTTTCACACAAAATGACTCGAAACCCATTAAGGACATTCAGAACCATGGCCCTAAACAGCCAATCTTGAATAGGTTTTTTTTTTTCTTCTTCTTTATAAAACATAATGGTTCGTTTTGTTCAAGCCTAAAGCAGTGATAA